AAATTGATATAAGTGTTGGAACGTAATAAATACAGCAAACGGACGTATTGTTAAAGTTATGACCGACAGAAAATTAGATTTGATTTGACCTAGATTCTAGATCTATAAATAACTTTCCTTTGACAGCTGATCTTTAGATCTAGAGAAATTTATTGTAAAACTAAATGAAAAAAGACAGTTTAAAATTGATATAAGTGTTGGAACGTAATAAATACAGCAAACGGACGTATTGTTTAAGTTATAGCCGGCAGAAAATTAGCTTTGTAACGCGTGAAACTTTTGAATGGGCCACAAAGTCTATGATGGGGTCCGCCATTTTTATTGTACCAAAAATGTAAACACATCAAGGGACGTCACTATCCCCACAAAGTTTATTCAAAGTATTAACATTTTTAAAAAAAATATGGTTAATTTAACTATGAATAAATCAATAAATTAATTAACGTCTTTAAATAAATTTGTGATTAACAGTCTGTCTTAAAACAAAAATTGTTCTCTACCTACATACTATTTTACAGCTTTCCACGATGAGTGCAACCATGCGAGATAGTCGATCAGGCAAACAAACAAACAAATAAATATTCAAACATGTAAACAAACTTGACTTTTAGTAGTATACTAGAATACCCGTCATCCGTTGGATAACTGTGGGTTTCGGGGGTCATCCATCAAAAAACATCACGTCTGTCACTCAGAGGCATAGCGACCCTTCCCGGCGCCCGGGGACAAAGTTTTCGATTTGAACCCCCCCCCCTCAAACTTTTGATGTGCACCCCCCCCCCCCCACTCAAACTTTCGATTTGAACCCCCCTCAACCTATCAATTTATTTTTCCAAACCATTTTGGCGCCCCAACATATGTCCCCCCCCCCCTTCCCCCCTCCACCTCCCCACCCCCCCCCTTCCCCCCCCCGCCTCCCCTCCCCACCCCCGCCTCCCCTCCCCACCCCCCGCCTCCCCTCCCCACCCCCCGCCTCCCCTCCCCTACCGCCCCCCCCCCTCCTCGGTACGCTACTGCAGTGTCACTTATCGTCACAAAAAACAGACCCCACATTCAAATATATGTTTTTTTATCTTTTAAAAACACCGAAAACACCGATTTCGGACTATCCCTTCATAAACTGACGTCACAGGTGACCTACTCAACTCTACTTCACCTGCCCAGTGTCCTGCCAAGTCTCAGACAACATTTTTTTATCGTTTAAAAAACAATTCCAGCCGAGCATGTATCTGACCACACTATCCTTTCATATGCTTAGGACAAAGAAACAGATGAACTCTACTTCACCTGCCCTGTATCTTGCCAAGTTCAGATAGGCAACGTTATCATTCACATCTAAAAAAAAAATTGAAAAAAAAAATTTCATTGACATATTGGTCTAGAACCCGTGCCTCCTGCATGAGAGCTGACTACGCTACCATTTTAGCTATTTACTCGTGACGTCACAAGTGAATTTTTATACTATACTATGTGTCTCCTTATGCAACTTGATTTACGCGTATAGATTCTAGATCTAGATCTAAAAATAAGTCTAGTAGTACTAACTTTCAAATTAAATTTTATCTTAAATAAGCCAAACAAAGATTTATATAAAATAATTAAGGCCTGAAATAGATTCTAGATGTAGAATTTACATTGAATCTAGTGACCTACATCTAGGCTAGATCTAGATCTAGATCTAGGCTAGATTCATAAATTTCCTTCGATAGCTGATCTTTAGATCTAGAGAAATTTATCGTAAAACTAAATGAAAAAGACAGTTGAAAATTGATATAAGTGTTGGAACGTAATAAATACAGCAAACGGACGTATTGTTAAAGTTATGACCGACAGAAAATTAGATTTAGAACGCGTTAAACTTTTGAATGGGAACACAATTTTCTTCAATAGACGCCGCCATTTTATTGTACTAAAGAGTAAACAAAAACCTGTGACGTCACGGTCCCGCCGAGTCTAGTGGCTTTTCAAATATTTTTAAAAAAAATGGGTTATTCTGCGTAGGAATAAATCAATAAATTAATTAACGTCTTTAAATAAATTTGTGATCAACAGTCTGTCTGCATTAAAAAATTATTCTCTACCTGCATACCATTTTACAGCTTTCCAGATAGAGTCGAACATATCACAATTTTCGATCAGGCAAACAAACAAATAAATATTCAAACATGTAAACAAACTTGACTTTTAGTAGTATATAGATAGATAGATATATATATATATATATATATATATATATATATATATATATATATATATATATATATATATGTATACGAAGATATTAACACAGAATATTCATTTCGGGCTTGTTCGAAATTTGAGAAAAATCACTAAACATACTTAGTTTTCATTAAAAAGTTAAAACACGTTACAACAGGTCATTTGTGCGACTGCTATTAGTATATTTTGAAAATCTCTGTTTTAACATATTAATATGATGCCTCCATGAGCAAGTCGGTCGAAATAATATAAAGCATGAAAGCTGTGTATGTGTAATGGTTTCTAGCCTTATGTTTATTTTTATGTTTTTTTTCTTATTATATTATTAGTTTTGAGTGCATTTCCTTTTTATGCTTTGTTATTCTTTATTATGTATTTTTTTTAAAATAATAATTAAGAGAAGTAATTGCATTTTAATTTGTTTAGTGCAATTTTATTAAAAGGTGCTTAAGAGCACACATATTTGACTATTTAGAAAAGGGAAATAAGTCATGGAAGAGGTTTGAACAATTGCGTATCTTTCACGCGATGGGTTTATTTTCAAAAGAATTTTGCCGGCAACAGCGTGTGTTTGATTGTAGGAGAAAGAAGACTTGAGATGGTGTCTATAGAATAAAGATAATCCAACCGCAGCTGCAGTATTCTTTTTACAAAACAACCATGAAGTAAAAAATGAAAGAAGATTATTTTTTTTTAACTGTAAAAAAATTGATTATGGTCGGCTGCGGGCCCCTAAACGTCCCGGCCCCCCCCCCCCCCCCGCAATGCGGGGTCTGGCGGCACTGTAGTTCCGCCCCTGGATTGGGCATCCTGTGAGCACTATGGCGCCTAAGTTCGTTTTGAATAGTGCGATAGACTATGTAATATGTATGGATAAGATGGGTTTTATAGTCGTTCACTAAATCGAATCAGGTGCGTTCGCCGGCGCCCCGGGTTATCATCTAACATTCGGTGATTAAACCGAGCCAGGGGCCGTACGCGGCGCCCCTTCGGTAGTGTAACCGGAGGCTCTACGTCCCTAACACCTGGACTTTCGACGAAGTGCCTTCAACCTCACTATTTAACAGAGAGTGATTAACGTACATTCACAGCTTTCATACATCAAGCCTTGGAACGTGCTGGGCAGTAGAAAGGGCTAACCAGTGCCCCAATAAATATGACCCAAGAAATATAGCGCAGGCGTTGTTTGCATATTCAATTTTAGAAAACAAGGTCACAAGTATAAGAATTATAGGTTTGGTAACGCATTAATGAAACCCTCTTAAAATATTGCGTCAGATTTTCTTCTGAGATCGCGGCAACGCGCGGAACGGGCACGCAAGCAGCATATATTTTAATGGTACACAAAATGAACCGTGCATCAACATCACTGTGTTCAAAACACAAAACCGTTAAAATATGATTTTCACAAAAAAAATAAAAGCATTATAATGTTATAATGAATATTTACTGCAAACCAGTGTGACCTCTACCAGTGGCGTCGCCAGGTCGGGTGTCACCTGGTGCGACACTTCGTGGTGTCATATACACACATATATATATATATATATATATATATATATATATATATATATATATATATATATATATATATATATATATATATATATATATGTGTGTGTGTGTGTGTGTGTGTGTAGACATTATTGTTAATCCATTTTTGATTACTTAAACTTTTTAAAATAGAATAGAATCGCGTAGAAAAAAGAATTGCGCAATATTATTAGTACTTTATAAATTCACACGCGTTTTTTTGAGAAATCGGAAATAGCGTAAATTACTACTTCCGGTCAACGGAAATTACTCAAAATTTGACAGAAGGCAGAGTATTAGATCTTTTAGTTATATGTGAAATTTCATTTATCTATCTGAAATAGTACTCAAGTTATAGGCTTTTGAAAAATTGAAAGTAGATAAAGTTCCACTTCCGGTTATCGGAAATCGCTCAAAAGTTGATACAGATCTACGATTTTGATAAAATACTTATATATGAAATTTCATCAACCTAGCTGTAACGGTACTCAAGTTATCTTGTTTACACACAGACAGACAGACACACACATACACACACAGACACACAGACATATGGACAAGACTTTCTCTATACTTCGTATATACGAGAAAGTAAAAAGAGACTATGATGATCTATCTATGAATGGATTCGTGTTTAAATATTGACAGTTTCGATCAATTTTTAATGGATCATTTTCTTTCAAAATTTTAAGATGTGCATCCCCAATTACAAGAAGAAAATCTAATTAAAAATTTAATTCCAACCACTTAATGACTCTGGTGAGCTATAAATTGACGTCACACTTTTTAGGAGGGGGAGAGGGTGAATGAACTTATGTTGCGTTTTGTGACGAGGGAGTGGTTGGGGGGGGGGGATAAGTCAGTAAGCTATGTCGTCAAAAGGGAGAGGGGTTTGACTTTTTGTGACCGTGTGTGCCATGGTTAGAGAGTTTAAAATTGACAAAAGTGTCAAAAGCGTGACGTCATTTATTGACGACCCGTATTAAGAACGATTGTCTGGGGAAAAATAAAAAACAAAATAATAATGCAATAAAGTATAAGTGTCGTTTGCAAATTATAACATTGGAAAGATTTTTTAAAGCGGTCAATCGTGTTACTTTTATATTTTGGCTAACTAAAATGTAGGCCTATAGCTTATATAAATGTACACAGTATGGCTACACTAGTTTCTATACTCTCTGGTCTATGCACTCTCTAGTCTTCTCGCTATTTCAGCAAAATTGTTTTGTTGCGATAAGCGCTGCATGCGTTTTTAATGGTAGGAAACACGGCCTTAGACGTGTAGAAATCAAAAGTCGGTAGACCTAGGCCTAGTGTCATTGAGCAACAAACTTTATTTATTTTTAGAAATCAAAATGGCTGTTCACGTGCCTAAATTCGTTTTATTTTCCTTTATAATCACAACGTTTTTGCATTCAATTGCCACGGAAGGAGATTGGAATACTAAAGATTTCCAAAGAAGAGAGCACAGTCTAACCAAGCCGTACCAGGGTAAAACTTCAATTAATTTATTTTTTTATAAGAACATTTTATTTACTGAGACAGTCTCAGTGAGACTAGATCTAGATTTCTACTTCTAGTCTAGATCTAGAATCTAGATCTAGATTCTGATTATTCTAGCTAGAATCTAGATCTAGACTAGATTGTCTACTATTAGTCTACTAAGTACTCTAGGTAGTAGCTAGATTCTCTAGATCTAGATTTTTCTAGAAGAGAATAGTTAGTTAGTTAGTTAGTAACTTAGTAGCTGCCGCTGCAGCTAAGTTAGAGATCCAGATTCTAGCGAGTAGATCATAGATCAGTGGTTCTTGACATATATTCACCAAACCCTTCTTAATTATTAATTAATAATTAATAGGCCTAGGTAAAATAAAATTCAAAACATTGTCATAGGGCACATAGGAGGAGCCTAAGATTTTAGTTTTAGTGTATGTTATTCGCTGCTTCACTTTCTCCAGTTGAAATTTTGGATGATATTTTGAATTATTTTGAGTCGTCCCTTTGAATCCCGGTCAGAACGTCCCCCCGTCGTGACCTCAACCAACCGGCGGACTTGTTGCATTGAGTTAAATATAAACTCAAAACAATCTCCTTTCAGTCGGTCAGGCCACATACCACGCACGCATACAAATAACTTAGTGTGTGTAGGCCTAATCAATTCTGTCCCCACTTTTTATTATCAATTATCTTTTGTATTTCAATGAAAGCTGCTAGCCTAAAAGTCTTGAATTCAGATCCTGGGCTCTGAGCCCACTCAGTTCTAATGGGTACCTGACTTACATCAGGGAAAGTAAAGGCCGCTGGGCATACTGCTTCTCACACTATCCCTTATGTGCTGAGGCCATAGAAACAGATGAACTCTATATCATCTGCTCTATAGACTGCCAGGTCTGAATGGGTAACTCACTTTCCTTAAATGTATCTGAGGCAGAGTAATATCTATTATAATAATAAGCATAGGCCCATTACGAAATTATTTGTATATAGTGATTACTGTAAAGCCACTAGTATATGGCATATGATTTAATCAGCTCCAAGAAGTACGCACAACTCCATTGAACTAACTTTCACACTACATTTTTAACACAAAGGATCTGGAATGGGTATCCCTCATTGGGATATGCTGGGAAGTACGATGGTTACCAATAACTACATACGCCTGACTCCAGATCGGCAGAGTAAAATGGGAGCCATCTGGAATAATGTGGTACGCCTAGTTTTAGAAAATTTGTTAGGTTCATTGATTTTATTGAAAATTTTATTAAGTTAAAAAGATCACTTTTTTTTAAAAAGTAAAAACAATCTGTTAATCTGAAATCAATTCTACTATTGTTGCAAATCATTTTTATTCTGTTTTTTTTTAATAGTGATACTTTTTGTTGGTATATTAGATTATTGTTATAGGCTATACTGAATACTGAACTGGCTGTTTTATTATCGATGACCATTATAGTGTTGTTTTACTTTAATGATAATTTCATAGGAAAATGAATGCTGCTATTTATTCAAGATGTATTTTAGAGCTGTATTAAATTTCACTTACGAGTTCAAATGTTTTAAATAAGGCCTTATTATCTTGACAATTCTAATACCTTTAAACTTTTTCAGCCATGCTTTGTCAGAAACTGGGAAGTACATGTCCAGTTTGAAGTACATGGTAGTGGGAAATCCTTGTTTGGTGATGGCTTTGCTGTTTGGTACACTAAAGACAGAATGTTGCCAGGTTAGTAAACCTGATTAAGTTATTTAAATATGATGATGGCCTAAACTTGAAAATTTAATACACTAATTCCTTTTTTAAGCTAAATACACACTTTGATGGAAAATGTTTCTTTTGTTTATGCAGGAAATGTTTTTGGTAACGCAGATCCTTTTGTTGGTTTGGCAGTCTTTTTGGATACGTACAGTAATCACAATGGACCTCACAATGTATGTGGATGTTTTTTATTAAGTTGAATTATACTAAAATGAATAATTCCATTTAGAAGCAAATATGATTGTATGTACGTGGAGATGTAGTGGTAGAAGGTTTTAAAGCATTAGTCACAACAAAAAAATGTGGTAAGTTTTGTAACACATTCCACTCAGTTAAGATGTTGTCTTTGGGTACAGGGTCCTTTTGATCAACCTGACATCTCTTATTTCTTAACCAGCAATATAAATATATCTTTTCCACCATTCTGTCATCTGTTTCAGTTAGGGGTCGGTGTGGTCGAGTCGGTAAAGCTCATGGTTGCTAAACCGAAAAGTCTCGAGTTCGAACCCTCGGGCAGATGAGGCTCGTTAGCCACTCTTCTAGGAGAGACAACTCCAAAATCAAACAACTGCTGCCTTCTAGTTTGTTCTTGGTTGGACAAAGGCTATGGAAGCAAATCCAAAAAGAAAAGCAGGCTGAAATCGGAGTCAATGGCCTCAATGGCGCATAACCAGTTGACACGTAATCCTTAATTGTGATTGAAGCATGGTCGAGTCGGCAAATCTCATGGTTGATAAATTAAAAAAAAAAGTCTTGAGTTCAAACCCTCTGGCAGATAAGGCTCGATCCCTCCCAACACTAAAAATTAAGAACGAAGAAGAAGAAGTTATTGATCAATTGCGAAACAATTTAAAAGTGAAGACATCTCTTTTCTTTCAAATTGTCTGGGAAGTTGATGCAGAACTGTCTTAAATTTACTGACTGACACATAAACTAAATTATTCTGTTTTATATTTCAGTTTGTTAGCACTGCAATTCTCAATATGCTAAATAACTTTTAAAATATTTTGATGATATATTGACATATTTTTCATTTGGTTATAAAAAGTTAGCACATTGCAAAATTTTTAAAAAAGTTTTTTTTAATTGCTTTTTAATTGATATGCTTGTTATATTTTACATACTCCATCAATTTTTTTTGTCAGCATAACCACCCTTACATCTCAGCTATGGTGAACAACGGAAGTCTGACCTATGATCATGACACTGATGGCACCCATACCCAACTTGCAGGATGTGAATCCCAGTTCAGGAACAAGAAATATGACACGTTTCTGGCCATAAGATATGAAGGCAACACATTAACAGTAAGTGACAGTTGGTTAGTGGTACTCAAGATATGCTGAGCTGATTGCGATGTGCTAATTTGTTACTATTTTTGCAGGTGTCTGTTGATATTGACAACAAGAATGGCTGGAAGGAATGCTTCTCTGTGTCAGGTATTAAGCTGCCTGTGGGATACTTCTTTGGTCTATCAGCAGCCACTGGGGACTTAGCGGGTAAACACATTTATTTTTTACTTCATCTTCATAAGTAAAAGTTTATTGTTAGTTATTGTCTTAGTTTTATTTTCTTACCATTTTTGTTTGTTCCAGACAATCATGACATCATTTCCGTTAAGTTTTATGAACTTGCAACAGATTCTGTAAGTATATTTACTGAAACTTATTGCATACTTGAAATAATTTTATTTCCTTACAGCTGCATTCTTTAAATCTTTCAACTGTAATTTGAAAATCAACTGTGGCTCAGATTGTAATTTTTCTAGCCTAGCTTACATTAGCACCCTAATTCAACCTATATTGTAACACAGGTTATAAGTAATTTATCTAGCCTAGCTTACATCTAGCACCCTAATTCAACCTTCAATCTTTTGATCAGAAAGAACAAGAAGCCGTGTATGATGGATTACCAGAGGCCCAGTCTATGGAGCCACCAAGAGGTTGGTATTGGCACACAGCTAGTGTATCTGTCTTATTGTCCTGTTGCTGATATTGGCACACAGCTAGTATTTCAGTTTTGATACACTAGTTATGTGCCAATAGAAGCAACATTACAGTTCTAATGTGTTGTTGTTATTAGGATCTTACCTTTATATTTAGTGTATTTTTGAAAATGCATATAAAATAATTCTCTTAATGTTATAATCAACAGATAGAGTGGATGATAACAAAGGATCTTATCTGCTGGGCAACCTGACGGGCTGGAAGCTGCTCGTCATTATAATTCTGCTCATTATTGGTGTGGGCGTCTGTGTAATGGTTGGAATCATCATATTTCAAAAGCAGCAGGAGAATTCACGGAAAAGATTTTATTAAGGAACAAATTATAACCTGCTGTTTTGATAAGTTTATTTTATTTTTCTTTTGGAAGTTTTAGTCAAGTTTCAACATTTTAGAACCTAGAGTTTTAAAATAGTATTTTCAAAATATTAGCTTTTTCGTTAAAAATGCTTTTTTTTTTTTTCTAAATTTTTATTTTGAAGTGTTTAAACCATTACGAGCTACATTAATAATGTTCAATGTTTTTCCACATTAAGGCTCAATATACATTAATATTTTATACGATTTTTCAAAGACAATTTAGTCACATTTTCATCATGAACATTTTTAATGTCCAAAGGAATTAGAGGTGGTTATGTTTCAATTAAAGCCATCATTGTGATTTAAGTCAGATATCACATATGCTATTGTAAAAGATGTTTCTGCAATAATTGTTGAGGCAACTATTTGCAGTCATGAGAGTTTTTAAAGCGTTAACCTTATTGGACAGAGCAAATGATATTAAGGAAAACAGCTCATGTTTTCTTTGATCACTAAGCCTAAAGCAGTATGTGTTGTTGAGCTATACACAATTTGATGACTTGTTACTTATTGGTTGTTATATTGCGCATATTGATTTTAAGTGTTCTGAAGTATGGAAGCCAAAATGAATTGCGCATAATCTAGTAAATTTGAAGTAACTTATCTATAGTGTTTACTATTGCTACATTCATTACAAGTAACTAATATGAAGTACATTGAGTAGCTAAATTAAGTAAAGTTGATTATTATATCACAGTCAAATTTTATTTGACCATTTTTAAAATGCCTTGCATCTTGCTCTTGAAAAAGGAAATTCTGGTTTTTAATCTCCACCACAAAGAGTGAATGTTAAGAAAATTCTACAATTTCAACACCAACCACTCTTAGGATGCCAGATAAAAATAGGTCATCTCTAAATTATACTGCCTGAGACATAATGGTTAATTCTTAATCAGGTTTTATATTGAAATCAACGAAACAAGTTAAATATGAGGGTTACACTGTTTTTTTAAATGTGTGCCAGAGTGTGTAACCTTTTTTTTCACGTGTTCATTTTTTTACACTGTTTGATTATTAACAAAATTTGTTAAAGATTCTTTTCGTTAAGTATTTAAAATTTTCATTACAAGATTGATTAACATAAACCACATTTTTGACACATGTTAAGTGATTGAAAAATTTGCCAGGCAAATTTGTGTCGATACAAATGAACACATCAGTGTGTTTTAGTCAGATATAAAAACTTAACAGATGTATAGACACTTAACTGTTTGCTGATTATCTTTGCTATCTCTGAATGAATGCTCAACTCCGCTGCGCATAACTTTCTATGAAAGCGGGTTGTTTTATAGTCCTATTGTTTAGCTTATAACCACACCACTGGGTAGGTGGTTACAGTGTGGCAACCTCAACACATTCCAAAATTTATATTTAAGCTAATGGACAAAATTGATTCCCTATTTCTCTTTTTGAAGTACAAGTTTAGAAATAAGTAACATCATATAGTTTAGACTGTTATGACAGTGTCTAAAAAAATTTGAAATATCAGTGAAAATATTGTGTTCTACGTTTTGTCATGACCTGTTGTAAAGTTACAAGTCACTTTCATTCGTTGTCCACTTGTTAAGTATGTTTATTTTAAATTTGTTACTCATCATGTACTTGATGAATAAAAGCCTTAATGTTGACAGTATTATCAATCTGTCAAATCCATTGCCTGAAATATCTTACTTGCATTTATTTCTTTCATAATGTGGGTTTGATAATCATGTGTGATTAACATTTTTGCTAATGTACCCAATATTTTATTCATTGAGTAGCCATATCAAAATTTCTTAAAAAGAATGCAGAAATAGCCTGCTTGTTCAGTATTTCATCTGTTTGGGTTGCTTGTCCCAAATTAAATTTAAAAATGTAATAACAGTAGTAATAACAATTGTAAGCAATACCTTCCTACATACAAAGTGTTTAGTTTTTTCTTGAAACCCTGTTTCTTCTCATTGCTTGTTAGCTTGTTTTTTAATACAAATTTTATCACTGTTGCTGAACAAATGGTTGAATGGATGTAGGCCTACCATATATGAATCTGCAATAAAGTATTTATCTAAACATGTCTGTAGTTTCAGTGTATAAGTATGTATGTATGTGGTTTTAGAAGCCTGTGTGGATGTGGTTTTACTGTCTATAAGCCTTTGTGGATATGGTTTTACTGTTAAGCCTCTGTGGATGTGGTTTTACTGTCTACAAGCCTGTGTGGATGTGGTTTTAATGTCTATAAGCCTGTGTGGTTATGGTTTTACTGTCTATAAGCCTGTGTGGTTGTGGTTTTACTGTCTACAAGCCTGTGTGGATGTGGTTTTATTGTCTATAAGCCTGTGTGGATGTGGTTTTATCATCTGTATAAGCTTAAATGAATTTTACAGAAGTGAAAAAAAAATAAACTATATATCTAGACATGTTTGTAGTTTACTGTCTTACTGATATTAATGAAATAAAGGTTTGAATAAAACAATTGTAAAAAAGCTTTAAGCTTGTACAGTATGTTTTGAATGGCATGAGTTTGGAAGTGGTATGGTCATGTAACAAGAAAACACAAACTCCACTAGTTTCAGATTTATTACAACAAAATCTAATTTGACCAGAATATGAGAGCTTATTGATGTTAAATAGCGCTGGGTAGAGTTAAACAATACTATAAAAAGTTTAACATACACAGCTATAAACATACAACAAAATCATACAATGTAGTGCTAAGTAATAGATTGAAACTGTTAGGATTATTTACAATTAACAATGTGCATGAATATATTTTCTAACAATGCATACAAATAACATGCACAGTTTAGAGAAATGTGTTAACATCTGCAGTTTAGTGTATACATGTGGGCTGAACAATAAGGCACAACTGAAATAACAGTGTACATTATTGGGGAAGAAAATGATACTTTAAATTATTAAATCTTATTGAAATTAAATAAGAGATCTGTTTATTTACAAAAGAAATGACATAAAATTTAATGGAGACAAGCGAGTTGATGAGATTCCTTCCATAGTGTTGTTGACATGGAATAAAAACGTGCTTTTTAGATTTAGACCGTAAAAAAAAATAAAAAATAAAAACTTAAGCCTAAAATTAATTTAGAAATTTTATATTTTTAGAATAAATGCTATAAAAGTTGCAAATCCAGAGAACTTGAAAATAATTTGTTGAGTTTAAGGCTACATTTCTATTTATTTTCATCAAGCCTAAGTTATAACCGGATGTTTCACTTTCGTAAGACAAATATTGATTGGCTGTACAGTAACTTAGCGATCGATGACTATTTGTTTACAAAACTTTGCAGATCAAGTTTTTAAATAACAATGCAAATTTAAAACCCCATGACCTAGTTTTCTATTTTTAGCTTACAATGTGTACAATAAAATTATGTCGGCCTATCCAATAGCAGGATGCCATTGTTTATGTCGCCATTACACGTGAAAACCAAATTGTTTTTGCTTTTTTTTAAATTTTTATTTAGTTACCGAAAATATTAAAAACATCAAATACGTCCAATCTTTAGTAAAGTCCGAAAAAAACCAGACAGACATAATTTTATAACCATATTAATTGTAACTACGACGTGCAAGATTTTTAAATTAATTTATGTACCTCTCAAATACCTTTGAGACTTTTCTCGCTTGTGTCCATTGGGGGTTCAGAAATTAAAGTTTAAAAGGTCTTCTAGAAAAGCAGGTTACATAATTGTTAAGCATCAGTCACACTAAAAAATTTTTTTTAATGAAATAGATTGCAGTTTAGTCAGTAAAATTTTTTTTTTTTAAATTTCAAAACCCCTAAAGAAACCTAGAGAATACAAAGTTTTTGTGTTTTTGTTGAAATACATTTAAATACATAGTTGCAAGTCAAACAAGAAAAAGACAAATAGTCCAAAAAATTAAAAAGAGAAAGACTTAGCTTTATTTTCTTTGGGTTATTATATGCAACATACTTAGGTTCTAGTTTGCCCCAGTTAATTTGTGTGTGTTTTAGTTAACAGTCAAAAGAGACTATGTCTATGACTCTAAGGACATTCTATGACTCTAATGACCTGTGTCTATTGTATGATAATTTCTGAAGTGAACAATTGATTTGATTTACTTGTTTTTATAGCTTTCCATGTTGAACAGGCCAGTTGATTTATTTTTATACCAGGCCTTATAAACGAATGCTAATACATACCACACTAAACCTGCCATAATTCCCAGGCTAATCTATGCTATTTGTTTACTTAGAGATGAGTCATCAGATGAACCAAGAAACAGGTGTAAAGTGATTAATAGCAGTATAAAAATGTGTCTACTTTACAAGATGATACCTAGAGTTGACAGCCTGAGTTAGAATTCAATTGCACATGACTTTGCTGGCTGTTAAAATAAACATTCATTTAGGAGAGAATAAAATGGCTGATAAAATGTCATAAACACTTCACACTGTGCTAACTATGTGGGTTATACAAAAGTGATCTGTACAAAAAAATGTGAGAATAGCTGTAATTGTTCTCCCACACAACTTTGTTACATCTACAATAAATATCAAACACCTGCTATTGGTTGTCAAACGTTCTGTGCTTTGAGTCTTGATTTAGATACTCCATAAGAGCTCTTCCTCAGTTTGTTGAGAACTCTGTGAGTGCTGATAGCAGAGTTGTAAAACAATTCACTTTACTACTGGGCTGGTTTAGGCTTACTTTCTTTCTTTGTTTTCTTGCGGATTTTCCTGGCAAATATTTTGCCTTCGCTTGCAACAGACGTTGAGTTGATTGAGACTTTGACTGGGGTAACCCTCTGGTCCAATGGGCAAGGTCCATCGGTTACACTGACATCGTCAATGGCCATATCTCCTTGGTAACCACTTTCAGTGATCCCCTCAAATGCAATCTGGCAAGTGAAATAGACTTTATATATCTAACATTAATAATGGAAGATCCACTAAAAAATGAATATCTACAAGTAAGCCTCTAGAAGATAAATAAAACTTTGAAAAATATAAAGGTCTGATAAACATAGGAATGCACAGGATTTTTGTGTGTGTTTAATTACATTTTCTGAATAGCTAAATAAATTCACCTAGCCATAGGGACTCTTTAAAGGTTGTTAATTCAATAGCTTTTAAAGTTATGTTTTTAGGTTACCTGATAGCCAGCCATAGCTAATTCTTGTGGTATGGCTAGCTTAGCATTGGTTACTTTACCTGATAGCCAGCCATAGCTAATTCTTGTGGTATGGCTAGCTTAGCATTGGTTACTTTACCTGATAGCCAGCCATAACTAATTCTTGTGGTATGGCTAGCTTAGCATTGGTTACTTTACCTGATAGCCAGCCATAACTAATTCTTGTGGTATAGCTAGCTTAACATTGGTTACTTTACCTGATAGCCAGCCATAGCTAATTCTTGTGGTATGGCTAGCTTAGCATTGGTTACTTTACCTGATAGCCAGCCATAGCTAATTCTTGTGGTATGGCTAGCTTAGCATTAGTCCACACGTCCCCTTGGTTACCGTAGGCCCTCCACACTGACCTAAGGACATCACCCCTCGCCTAGGACAGAACAAATGGTTTTGTTACATTTTTGCAGCTAGATTGATACAACCCCCCTCCCCCAAATTTAAGTGTCAAGATCAAAGAAACAGACAATGAGACATCAGCCAATTTGACCAGCAGGTTGGAAAAGATTTCTTATAATGACCCACCAATATAATTTATTCAATATTCAAACACGTTTTATTTTACAAATTTTTTTTTTATTAAAAAATGGATATGTTGTGTCATTATTGAGGTGTCTATGTACCTGTGCATACACATTCAGCGTCCCTATGTGCTTGCCATACATGTGGTAGAAGAACTCCACACATTGTTCCACCATCCCACGGTACAGTGGAGAGTACAAAATTGCGTTATTTCCCTTTCCTTTGGCTGAAGCCTCGATGTACATAAAGTGACCTGAAAAGATAAAATAAAACTTTAGAAGTTGTGTCCCTTGTTGTTATTTGTTATGTCGCCTTTTACATGCTGTCATCTATCATAGTGAATCGACTTTATTTTTTGTAAAAAAAATTAATTATGTAACCAATAAACACTTCATTGTGCATGTTAATTACGTTTAATTTGAAACAGATAATTAATTGAAGACCTCTAACTTATCCTAACTACCGCCGATTGATTGGAGTAAACATTTTCTGTTTTTCAGACATTATCTGTTAATAATGAAAGAACGATGGATATATGATTTCCGGTGCACTTTTTCAATTTTTCCTATTTAAAAAAAATTAAAATCCAAATTATGAAACTATTGCTAAGCAACGGAGTGCATATTTGAAGCCTAATTTGACATCTTTTGGCATAAAGAACCGTAACTCTTTCGCAGGTAAAGGAGTAATCAGCATTCTCTCCCTTTAATCAAAGCGACATACAGCACTTACCATGTTTTTAAAACACTTTGTACCAGCTAATTCAGTTTATGAAACAATTATCAGTTTAAACAAACAGCTTTTGTGATAGAATTTTTGAGATCAACAACTAGTTTTAGAAGCTGATTTAGTCATCCTTGTGTTTATTAAAACTGGGACGACGCCTTCAGGTCTTTACAAAAAGTAAACACCGCTCCATTTTAAACAAATATTTACATTCCAGTTTAGCCTGTATAAAATTCATTTAAAAAGGCATCTTGAAAATGTATGCGAAACGAAACAAAATCTTTGAGATGGGACTTGGGGCTGCGCCTAAGGAAAGATCCCTGGGCAGGTCTGAGTTTACTCTGTCGTCTGTGTACATACAGGGGCTGCTGGTCTGGCTACTTCTGATCAAACAGATTAGTTTCAACTTTACAATAAAAAAATTATCAACGGAATTTTCTCATGTATAACTGAGAAGGGAGGTATCCGGTATATCATGTAACATAGAAATCAGTATACACGTAGTCTATAACATAACAGTTTAGCTAGACGCTGACAGACTGGATGTACAAATAAAAGCTAAATCCCCTACACGGTTTCGCTAAGCAAGGGTAGGATTTTTGTCCGTCTTTTATGGCTGTTACGAGTTGACTTGACTATTGGAATGGCAGGATCGCAACAAGTTATTTTGTTTATATATTACTGTTAAATACTAACGACTGTTCTGTGTACATTTTGTTTGAGTTACATTTAGGTCTAAAGGGACTGATGATGGATATGAGTTGGCTGTTGGATGATTATATATATATATATATATATATATATATATATATATATATATATATATATATATATATATATATATATATATATATATATATATATATATATATATATATGTGTGTGTGTGTGTGTGTGTGTATTTCACGTGATGTATTTTATTCCCCTTTTTCAACAATTTGTAAATGAAACCAATGCCATATATACGACATGAGACATTTAGGTGGGGTTATCATTACCCGCCAAGTTTCTTTAGAAGGGATTCGTCATCTCTCACCTATTTGAAGAATAGTTTTCTATTCAGCGCGTATAAATATTGAAATACCACAAGACTCTTTTTTTTTTCAAAACTCATGAATGTTCAAAATCTTTAACAACCTTCTGCGATCCTAGCCCTTTATTTGTTGATGATATAAGGGAGGTACTCCATTTACTACGGGGGATAACTCGACCAGATAAAAACTAGCGGAAAGAATAAAGAATATTTTTTTAAAATACATACACACACTAACAATAAAATGTTAAGGAAACCGTATTTTAAATGATGTTGGCAAAAACATAAAACGTCTCAAAAAAACGTAATTATTTTTTTCATAACATTGACGTTCTGTCTTTCAAGCGTGTTTTAATGGGTTCTAGTTATGTTTTGAGTTATCTAACCTCGTGAGAAGATACCCAGATAGTAAGCACAGCAAGGAATTATTAATCTAACGCTCGGGGAAAAAATATCATCGTAATGATTGTTGTGGTGTGAAACTCTCTTTGTGGTTTCTTTGTTGTTACGTTGTGTGGTGATTGGTTAAGGCTTTGTACAATAAGATTTATGGCAGCCAATTAACAAACGGCACAGCTTACGTTAAACCACGTGATGAAAGAGGAAGGTGGAGATTGGATGATGCAAGGATAACATAAAACACAATAATTGGTTTGCTTTTAATTAGTTTTTTTTTTACAATAGAGAAGTGCAAATAGAGGAAAGCTGGTTGGGGATAGACTGCGGTGTAGGTTTGTTGGCAGTTGATGCAGGTTGGCAGTAGAGGCAGGATGGTAGAAAAGTAGGTTGTCAGTAGATGGAGGCTGATAGTTGAGGCGGGTTGTCAGTAGGGGCGGGGTGGTAGGGGAGGTAGTAGCCCTTGGAGTCTACACAGTTTGAATAAATTAAAATATCCGATCTTATCATCTTTAAGTTTCCACTTGACATGTGTTGGTGCTGTATCTGTAGACGTAAATATGTTCTATCCTAAAGACGACAGATGATCGTCTGCTGTGGTTGATCTTAGAGTTACTCCCCTTATTGAGACCTCGCTCCTCAATAATCCCCTCGTCAAAACATAATCAGCTCCTCATTTACCGATCTATGGGGTAACTCGACTAATGACTTAAACAGACACACCACCAATAAACACCGGAACTTAACTAATTTTCGTTTCTTCCGAGTTTTCCCCGTTGTCTGGATGGTCTAGCCAATTTTATGCCGTTAGAATAATTTGTTTTATTGTCTCTCCGAGCGTGGCGGTCAAAGGAGTGTTTTACCAAGGTGAAGGTTGTCTAAGTGCAAGGTCATAACGCCATTGTACCGAACATAATGAAAAATATCTCGGATCAGGGTTAAATCTTTATTGTAAAAGGTGAAGGCTGCAGTGCTTTGAGTGTAAATTAATGATCAGCTCATATTTCTATTTTTTGTATGCAGCCCAAGAACAGCAAACATTTGTTTTACCCCAAACACAACAAAAAAAGGAAGCCGCCCCACTTTTTAAAAACAACAAACACAAAACACACCCGTCATGCCCAAGCTCCGTAACTTGTGAGTTAATAACCTGGTAACCCTTGCACTGGATGCCCGTTACGTTTGGATAGATATGAGGTTAAGCTCCTCGTTTACCAAACTCTGGCACATTTGGATTCTGTCAAGACTAAAGCCACTACATTGTTTTACAAGACACACGCATTAACTAGTCTCATCCCCCCTCCATAGCGCCCCCTTCCTGTGTAAACAAAACATTGCTATAAACACACCATCGATTCATCAGGTGCCCCCCCCCCCTACCCTAGCCACTACATTGTTTTACAAGACACGCGCATTAACTAGTATTATCATCCCCCCTATCGCCTCCTTCCCGTATAAACAAAACACGACTATAAACACACCATGCCTTCATGGTGTCGCCCCCCCCCCTTCACTGTTGTGGTCCTTGGACGGTGTTGTTGTCCCCCCCCCCCCCCCAGAGGCGTAGCGACCCTTCCCGGCGCCCGGGGTCAAACTTTTCGATTTGCACCGCCCCCCCCCCCCCTCAAGATTTCGATTTGCACCCCCCTCAAACTTTCGATTTGCACCCCCCTCAAGATTTTGATTTGCACCCCCTCCCTCAAACTTTCGATTTGCACCCCCCCTCAAACTTTCGATTTGCACCCCCTCACCCTTTCAATTTTTCCAACCCATTTTGGCGCCCCCCTAAGGTCGGCGCCCGGGGACATATGTCCGCCCCCCCTTCGCTACGCTACTGCCCCCCTCCCTCCTAGCGTCACCTACCTGTAGGGCCATCACACGTGTGGTCCTTGGACGGCCCAGTTTTGCCGGACGGTGTGTCCCCCCCCCCCTAGCCCCTAGCGCCACCTACCTGTAGGGCCATCACACGTGTGGTCCTTGGACGGTCCAGTTTTGCCTGACGGTGTCGTCCCCCCCCCCACCCTAGCGTCACCTACCTGTAGGACCATCACACGTGTGGTCCTTGGACGGCCCAGTTTTGCCGGACGGTGTCGTCCCCCCCCCCCACCCTAGCGTCACCTACCTGTCGGGCCATCACACGTGTGGTCCTTGGACGGTCCAGTTTTGCCGGACGGTGTCGTGCCCTGGATCCTCTCCCAGTCGAAGTAGTCAGTGGTGTCGTTGATGTTGGTGAAGCCGCACAGCTTAGGGTCCTCGAACCCACAGAAGGTGCTGGTCTTGGCTGGGGATGAGAGCAGAGGTCAAAGGTTAATTTGAAAGGTCAAACAGTAATTTGTGTGAACTGGATGGAAAGGCAAAAATCAATTTATAAGTGAACTGGGGGTGGGACAAGGTCAAGGTGAAATTCAGAAGGAAGTGGGAGAGAACGAAAGAGGAGAGGTTTTTTTTTCCAAAAGGTAAATTAAAAACATAATGAATATTACAATATTGGAGGAGTTAAACAAATATATCATGCTATGATAAGTTATAACTATAACTTCGTCTTTTTTGGTAATATTCAATTACAATACATATATAGAAATCTTTATAAACCAACTATATTTTAAATAATTTAAAGGAGACAATTTTGGCCTCTATTACAAAAATATATGTAATTAATATCATAAATGTCTGTAACGTAATTAAATCATTAATTGTTAATTTTAAAAAAAAACAACTTGCAGCCTTAAAATAACCTAACAATCCTAACATTTTGGAGATTTTCTTACACCGCAATCAAATAAAAACAAAGATTGAGAACTGCGATTCAACTTTTTAAATTTCCTACAACACAACGAAATAAAAACTTGATCTACGTTTCAACTTTTTAAATTTACCACCCCTCCCAACTGTAACACGAGCGTACTTGTAGGAAAACATGTTGTACAACAGATGTCTTGAGCCGTACAACAAGCTTGTCGGACGTGGGATGGATGTCAGGATTACCTTTCGTCATGCATGACTAGCTTACACTGGCCGGCGCGTGCAGTGATCCCCCTAATTAACCACTGACGTACCTGGTTCACGCGGTACCGTACTACCCTCAAAAACTGTACACTGTTGTATGAAAGGTTAACATACACTGATTGCGTTTTAATTACAGAAAGTTCATTAAATATAGTTTATATAATTATACCAGGAAGTTGTAGTCATTAAATTTTATGACATCATTAAGTCATTAAGCAAGAAGAGGAAAAAGAAAAATTACTGTAATTACAGTTAACATTAGCAAATTTTTAAAAATATTTCAAGCTTTTTTTGTTAATCTTAAAAAACAAACAAAAAAAAAACAAACAAAAAAAACAAACGTGTTTGTAAAGAAAGTTGTAAAGCAAGAAAACACCTGTTTTTAGAAAACAAAATGCTTGTCAGTTTAAACAGGTCAGGGTTAAGGGTATAGATGTCAGGGAATACTAAAAGACAATGGGTCAAATCTTGGTCAAGATGTTCGCAAGAGGATTAGGTCTGTCAAGACTGGACCAACTGACGTCATTAAATAAAAATCGAACGTGAAGTATAAACAAATTTATTCGAAAGTAAAGACGGAAATAGCTTCATGAAACATCTGCGCAAGAGGTCATGTAGATGACCCTTGACCTAGCAGGTAGTAACCAAAGTAAGAACCACCTGCTGCACGTCAGTTGAAAAACTTGAGCATAACCTGGTAGTTAGTGGTAGTTAGTGGTGCACACGGGAGATGTACTCGGTACACTCACCTGACTTTAAGCACGAGGTGTGGGGGGGGGGGGGGGATAGACCTGGTCCTAGGGTGTAGGGATACACCGACCCTGGGGTGCGGGGATAAAACCTGAACCTAGGGTGCGGGGGATACACCGACCCTCGGGGTTCAAGTATCTACCTGATCCTGTGATGTGGGGATAGAACCCTGACACTGTGGGAGAAGATCTTTTGAGACACAATTAACTTCCCTAGCCTCTTTAACAAAAGTGAAAATCTTTTTTAGACAGTTTTAGGATGCAAAGTTTATACCCCCCCCCCTCAACTTAAGCCCACTTCACTCTATTTCCTTAGTTTAATACCCCCATAAAACATGCCCACTTCACTCCTTTGGATTGAATTATTGTTCTAAATTATACCGGTACTTAAAGTAAGGTAAATATGAAAAAAAAGATTGCACTTCAATAGGAACTCTAAGGGCAGCCATAAAAATAGATTTGCCCGATACGCTAGTAGCTCATGGATTTAAATTGTAGTAAAGTAAAAGTTAATAACTGAGTCACGTCATGTCCAACTTCTAAACCATGCCACATAAACGGCAGGATAGAAGCTACCCAAGATCAAGGCAGTCTCGTATAAAAAAACAAAGGCTACCTATATCTAGACCAAACCAAGGCTACACCTTCCTAGATAACACACGGCCAAAGCAAGGCTACCCATGCCTAGATAAGACCAAAGCAAGGCTACCCATACCTAGATAAGACCAAAGCAAGGCTACCCATGCCTAGATAAGACCAAAGCAAGGCTACCCATACCTAGATAAGACCAAAGCAAGGCTACCCATGCCTAGATAAGACCAAATCAAGGCTACCCATGCCTAGATAAGACCAAACCAAGGCTACCCATGCCTAGATAAGACCAAAGCAAGGCTACCCATACCTAGATAAGACCAAAGCAAAGCTACCCATGCCTAGATACGACCAAAGCAAATCTACCCATACCTAGATAAGACCAAACCAAGGCTACCCATGCCTAGATACGACCAAAGCAAATCTACCCATACCTAGATAAGACCAAAGCAAAGCTACCCATGCCTAGATACGACCAAAGCAAATCTACCCATACCTAGATAAGACCAAAGCTACCCATACCAAGATAAGACCAAATCAAGGCTACCCATACCAAGATAAGACCAAATCAAGGCTACCCATACCTAGATAAGACCAAACCAAGGCTACCCATACCTAGATAAGACCAAACCAAGGCTACACACAAACACGGACACAGCAGCCATTTGTTTTGAGATTACTGACAACTAAATGATACTGTCTTTTTGACGGGATATTTCTGGCTGTCATAAAGACTACATACCCCCTCCCCCCCCCCCCCCCGGATCGGGAGACTTCCGGTAGATAACAATAGATGTGATTATCATCAAATGTCAGACACGGGCTGTACGACATCACAAGATGACATTACGTGCCACGTGACATTATATGTCAGTGTCAGGTTCATTTCTGCTGGGCTGGGTATTTCTACATAAAAATATCCTCGTTTTAAAACGGTATTTGTTCAGCTTTTATTTGCTTGGTGTTTTTGCTTTGACACGAAATATGGAATAGAATGTTGTATGGTTTAAAATATGTACACACGCAACAACAAATAATTAACAAATAATCGAAACAAAATTAAGGTACGTTTCGAACAGAATTAAAAACAAGCCAATGCATTCGACTACTTATCACACACATGTGCATCTTTTGCACATCGAACAATCACCGTGCATCGAATTATCATTTACACATAGGTGCAAATATTGCATATCGGAGCAACCAATTGCACATTAGCGCCCCCTAGAATCCACTGCGTTTTTTTAGGTTTTTTTTTACTTAATGCTGGTGTGTGTGTATGTGTGTGTGTGTGTGTGTGTGTGTTCTGTGGAACAACTAAATATTTCTCTACTGAACAATGATTAAATTATTGTTGACAATGTCAAAGTTAAGTGAAGAAACTTCTGTTAGTGTTAGCTTGAAGTAACTTGGTAGTTTGAAACGTCTGTATTTTTTCAAACAACACAGCGACATCCTCAGTAAATTGAATTACAGTGAAAAGTCTGGCTAAAATTTCTCATTTAAACTATCACGAAAACAGAGATAACCTCGACCCCACTGGATAATGCCGAGTTAAAAATGGCGTCACTTATCTGGTACTTACAGAGTTGTCGCTCAAGTAAAGGGGTAGCACACCCCCCCCCCCCCCCCAGTAAAACAGAAACCACATAAACCAATATCTCATAAACCATTATGACGAAAGCAACTATATTTGTTATGTATCATAATTTTCCTTAACTTGATTATTTTACGCTGATCACAGTCCTGATAAATGCTTATAAACATAGCTATTACGTAATGATAGGGGCAGATGAATGGCATATGCCCTACCTATGATGGAATCAGGCATTGTAGTAAAGTTCTCAAATACAGACGTGAATCGAAGGTCAACATTGTTTTTATCTCAAGGTCACCGCAAACCTTACAACAACATCGCATAAATTCAAAATAAATTCAATTTCTGTTCCCTATCTCACCAGCCTGAGGTTTGCAGTTATGTTCGGTGTCTGCCTAGTCTATCTTTAGTCTGCCGCTAGTCTATCTTTAGTGTGCCGCTAGTCTATCTTTAGTCTGCCGCTAGTCTATCTTTAGTCTGCCGCTAGTCTGCCTCTAGTCTGCACAGACGCGTGTACTCTAACAATGGCTTCTGGTGCCAGCTGAAACCATTCACGTCTGCTACATTTATTAACTTCCATCCAAGTCTACACAAGAATGTTAATTAAAAAAAAAACTTTCCTCAACATTAAACACAGACCATGATCCAATTGTTTTCTTCAAAAGTTTGTCTAGAGATAGACTCAGCAAAGTCGCGTTAAAAATAACCGACCTTTTAAACATTTCAACATATTATCGCTTTTTAGATAAAGAAACGAAGATAATAATAATTAGGCAAAAACTATAATGAGAATGTTTTTTAAACAGGTGTATGGATGGAGTTATGTAACTTTTCTCGGTGGAGAATGTAAAACTAGGAATTAAATCATGCTGAGGCGCGTCACGGTGAACATACAAAAAATTATCCCTAGATTTTTTTCCTCCTATTAATTACACTGCGCAACATTGAGAGTTAACTCGGGAAAAAATGGTCGAAGAAGTCGTCAATCAACATGTTTCCACGGGTCATGTGTTCACGCCATAAATCAAATGTTGTGCGCGTTTTAAATGAGATCTGGGGACGTTTCACACATTTGCGAGACAAAAAATAAACCCGAAATGTGTGTCTTCATATAGCGCAGAGATATACGAACGGTTTTGCAGCAAAGTTGATATAAAATATGACGGAGCAAGTGCGCTAAAGGCTTTTGTATTTTCCCACCATTCTAACTAGAATGTTTTCCGTCCTTACGTTATTCACTCATCGGTATAGACACTAGTACTTCGTCGGTCTGGTAGGATGACATATTTATTTAGAAGTGCATTCCATTGGAGAGTACAGTTTGGCATCCAAGGAAAC